TATATATATATATATATACACATGAGAAGAATTGTTTTTTAATAATTTAAAAAATTTAATTTAAGAGATATAACAAATGAATATTATTTAACAATACTATATTTTATAATAATTGTATAGTTTTTCTTATAAATCAAAGATACTTAAAATGTTTACGAAATTCAGAAAGGGACTTCCATTTGCATACCGTTACAAAATATTATACTATGGTAGTAGGCGATAGCTCGCATTTTCTATCCGATATCCCAATGGTAAATACTTGCGAATCTTACAGTGTAAATGATGGTAGTAGGCGAGTTTCCTGGCGATTCAATATGGCAAGGACGTTCAATCATTCATTAACCGGTTGAGATACCTTGTAAGGAGGGACGGTGACGAGGCCACCTTGTTCAGGAACTCTCTTTTCTTTCGCAGATTTAAGTTTCTCGATTCCATGAGATATCGGTCAATAATCGGTAGTTTGCATTATATGGGGAAATGTGTGTCGTAGTAAAGGATAAAATGGCGCATGCATATCTTCGCAACATCGAATTACCTAATTACCTAATAGGCAATCGACTGCATGTTTCACAACTCTCTAACTTAAGAAATCTGAACAAATGTTTCTAACGGACGCAATGTGATGAATTGCGTGACGAAATTATCGACTTTTCCTCCGGGAAATAATTCCACAACTAAGAAAGGATGTGAATCGCAATAAAGACGATGAAGATTTTTTTTTTTTTTTTTTTTTATTCAAATTTACCTAATCTTTACTTTCACAAAAAAAATGACCTAACTTTTTTATTTTATATATATATCTAGTATTATTTGATATTATTTTATATTTTTTTAGAATAAATAAGTTAATACATAATATGTTAACTTATGTGTATGAATGTAATCATCCACGGAATGAATTCTGAATAAATTTGTAATACATCAGATTGCCGGCGATAATTATGTACTGATACATGATATTACGAAACGGTATGGTAGCGTGAGAGTAAAAAGTAGGTTTGTATTTTTAGGCCCAGAGAAGTTTTTACCTCCTTTGATCTACCATCGACGATTAGCTCGATGTCTGGCGGCATTGCAGACTATTCTCGGCGTCGCGGTGATTTCTTTATCATTATGGTTGTTGCTTTGGGCACCGCACCTGCCTGTCATGGACAATCCGTATTGGAGTGGCATGCCCGTAAGTGCAATAATTTCATACGGCGATTAAATTTGCATTCCATACCATGATAATGCAGGAATACTACGAAATGGTAATCCTCGCTTATCTAACAAGCTGAGTCTGCTAAAATAGGCGTACTAACATATGGCTGCAATTAGATTTACATATGTATTATAAAATGATATAATCATGCTTTCTAAATAATAAGGATATATATATTGTTTTTGATATACTCTATAATCATATGTAGTAGTTTTAAATTAAAGTGATTGTTTATTGGAGATAATTGTTAATTATTGGCGACTGTATCGGTTTTAACAGTTTTGGATACTTCTTTAGATTTTTTATAAAACTTGACACATTATTAAAAAGTTTAATCCTTAATTAATTAAAGGTAAGTATGTAATAAAAATAATCTTCTATCTTCTTAATAACAAAAATATTTTGCTTAAGCCTGATATATACAATTGCGTAAACGTAGTTGTAAGTGATCGTAGTTTTAAAATCTTCCTCGTTGTATTCAACTGTAATTGGTCAATTCTTACAACTACAACTACGTTTACGCAATTGTAGATCGAGCTTTACAACACTTACACAGTGTGTTATTAGTATGAAATAAAATTGTACAGAGTATCCGTTCGTATCGAAATATCTTGTAAAAACAAAAATATTATGCATTTTGTTGTATATGGTATATGCAACTATGTTTCCTTTACATTAATTTATTCATCATTAATTTATTCTATGCAAAAAAATATTATGATATGATTATCAGAAGATTAATATTTTACAAAAGATATTTTATATTTCATATCAAAATATGTCAATATAAAATATCTCATAAACTAAATTAATTTTTCATTAATGTTATTTTAATACTTTTATATGCAGAATAATTAGAGATTTTATTAGGTAAAAAAACCATATCATTTTATTTTATTATAAAAAATGGCATTGATCTTTATGTAATCTTAAAAAATCAATTTTCTTTTAAAAATTATACGAAGATTATTTGATCTCTTTTAGATCAATTTTTATCTAAAACATTTTTCGATATCTCTTATACTTTTCAAAATATTTCGATGCAAAGGTTAAAATGGAACATAAATAACTTTACGTGTAAGTATATTAACACTTTATATTGTATATTAACTTTTTATAAGTTATGATACTTCTTTGCAATATTTTCTTTTTTCGTTCAAATGTTTAATGTTTTTTATTTCAATATTTCCAGCTTTTGATGTCCGGGTGCTTTGGAATTTGTCTGTTGTGCTGTTTTAAAAAAGAATATCCGACTTTGACTTCTGGATTTTGTCTTTCCGCCACGAAGGTAAATAAAAATTCTGACTCCTTTGTATTAATTAATTTTAGAAATTTTAATTGCGTAAAAGTATTAATTTTGTTAAAATTTTATTTGATTTACTAATTTTATTTTGCTTTATTTCTGAGATAATTTTTGCGTATTACTTACAAAAATATTGCATCTTTTTCTATCACAAGTTCATATTTTCTTTATAATGAATAGGTAGTTAGCGTATTTTTGGCGGTTCTGGCAACTATTGCATGTGTGAGCGCGTGCATATTTTCTGCAATACACTTGTCACGTCTTATGGGCCTGGAATGCACTCCGGCACGAGTACTAAATGCCACGTGCGTATGCAGACCACGCGGCGAATCACTCGATTCTCTCGAAGGTGTAGTCAGGTATGCCAAAAAATTGGACATAGATTGACAGAATTACGTGACATTTTCTACAGCATCTAAAAAAATCATAAAAATTGAGATATATATATATATACATTGGTATATTACATTTATAAAGATAATCTTTGTAAAAAGCATTTCGATTTATTTTTATTGAAAATCTATTAGATATATTATATAAACATAATAAAAGTTTTATAGTAATAATCATATTTATGTAAAGATGTTAGTATGTAAAAATGTTTCTGAAAATAACAATGCACATTTTACTATAGATACATCGACCTTAATTGTCCCGAAGTAGAAAGTATTCTGACGATCCTTCTCATCTTCTCATGCACTTGCAACGGATTAGGCGTCTTGGTGGCAGGATGGTATAGTTATCTCCACTGGAGCACGCGATATAAAAGGCCAAAGTACACACAAGTCAGAACCAATACTGTTTCCATGAACAATAAATTCAACAGTAGACCAATCTATAAATTGAACCTAGAGGAACGATGACGTTTGTAGATATAATGATCAAAACGCTTCCATTTTTATTGTGATCCATCGACATCTTCCGTATGATCACTATTGTGATCAGTTATACATGTGTACAAAAAAATGTGAACTATTACACATTAATAAATTTTATTTTATATTAATTTATTAATAATTATAACCATTGATAAATAGAAAACGTCAAAAATATTTTTTAAAAAATAAAAATGTAATCTGTTTACAAAGATATGAGCAGACAATTTTTTCCAACAAGCTAGAACTGTGCTAGTGTGAACAGTTGCAATTTTATAAAAGAATGAGGATTAAGTATAAGTATATATATTTATTATTAATAATAATAATATAAGTAATAATATTGTAATATAATGGTCATATCATTAAAATACAATAAATACGATAAATATATAGATTATAATGGGCCAGTATTTTATGGCTCATTAATTAACGCTCACTTTTTTATTGACACGAGTCTCAGTATTTGTAATGTAATGTGTGTATTTATGTGTGCATGCATATAACAGTGCGTTTGTTTTTTTAATGTGAAAGAAATTTGCAAAAAATGCAAAGACTATTGATTAAGTTACTTTTAAGATTAAAATTTAAATGAATCTATAGAATACCTCAAGAAATTACTGAAATAATGTAATATTTAAAAAATTTACGTTATTTTAGATGTGTTTAGTGAGATGTGTTTATTAATCAAAAATTGTCATGAATTAATGAAAAATAAATCTGTGGCAAGTAAGTTTGGTATAAATTATGCACAATGTTATTCTTACTTAGTGCAACATCTAATCCTATAATTGCTTCAATTATCGAGTATAATAATAACATTATTAATTTTATGATAATGACGCGAAGGAATAATATGAAAGGAAAAGAAATATATCCTATAGAGAGAAATACATATATATGCGACAATTCTATTTATTTTTACTATCAATATGAATTTTTTCTACAATATTGTGTTTAAATTTACAGTTTTACTTGTAAATTAATAGCTATATTTATAAATTGACTATATATGTTTTGTGCACATTGCAGTTTTAAGTAAATTTTTATAAAAAATGTTATTAAAAATTTTACTTGTTTTTAATAAAACGATTAGCATCAATTCTATATTAATTACTAATATAGTACGTTCTGCGTCTCTCTTATATGATTTTATAAAATCCAAAAATAAAAATAAAGAACAATATTTTCTATTTAATAAACACGTTATTGTTCTTGTGTTTGATGCAGCAAGTTGAAAGTCGAATATGACATTTTAAGTAGCTGTAAAAAATTATAGATATACATATTTAAAAATATTTGAAACATTTACAGTCAGTAATAATTTTTATTTTAATTTATTGATACTGACGGCTACGAACGATTCAAGATTCATTGTGATAATATACGCGCTACTAAATTCGATGGGAGATGTCGAACGTTGCATAATTATTAGTAGACCTTTCTTGCTGCTTTCGCTAAGTTCTAGCCAATCTATATTATAGACACTAGTCGACAACTGAAGGCTCTATAAATAAAAACATGAAAATAGTGCAAATTATATGAAAGAAATATCATATCTCTGTTTTAATTCCTTTTTTTAATTATTTCTGTTTTATATTATCATTTTATTTCATATTTTATTTAATGATAAAATTAATTTGTTTTAAATGAAATATATATACTTTTAATTTGACTTCATTTCCAAACCAACAATAAATGAAAATCTGTGCCAACATGCAGCCTGTATACATCATCAATGGAACAATTGCCATAAGATCTGTTGTCATAGCCATTCGATATAAATTTGAGCATACCACCAACATACTCACCCCGAATTGAACAGCAATTATTTTCGCGAACATGTCATTTATATTTTGCGCATATCTACGATTAGATAGAAGATTTTAAATCAACCATTCCAAATATCTATTTTAATTATTTATTAATTATGTCGAGTTTACGTCGTTAAATATAATAATTAATTATTAAAACAAATGCGCAAGATATATTATATATGTCATAAAAATCGAATCAAAATTAGAATCTTTTATTTACAAATATTCGTTAATCACTAATAATCTTGAATATTTTTGTATTATTTAATGAAAAGATATAAAAAAAATTGTTACAAAAGAGATAATATTTTGTATTTCACGTATTTCAAATTCAAGAAAAAGAAAATTATTCGAAGAAACTAACTCAACTAAATAATTGTGATGACTAATACAATCGCGCAAAATGTTATGATTCTCTTTGACATTTTTTAATCGATGTTCCAGTATTTCGAATTGACAACATATGTGCAGTAAGAGTCCGCACACTAGGCTCTCGCAAGCAACGTTTACTAAACCGGAACATGACATGCCTATCATTTGATTACTATATACGAAAGTAAATGCAATTGGAGATGAATAGTCGAATGGTATCCATGCTTTGTATGTCAAGTTTCCTTTTATAAGATCCGTGAAAATAGATGTTATATTTACTACGACGACTGCTGAACCCACGAGGGTTAAATACCGCATTGCAACATTCCTATATATAAAATAATCACAATTATACTTCTATTTTTACTATGATACGATTTGTTTATTAAACTTTACTCGTTATTTCATTAAATTTCATTTAAATATTTTTTAAATATTATAACCAAAGTGCCTTATCTTTTCATAAAGATTATATCACGAAATAAATTTATTTACTAATTCCTATTTAATTAATAGAACATTTTTAATTTATTTAAGTATAAATGTAAAGAATTTTTTATGCAATTTGCGAGATAAATTTAAAGAATATACAATATAATTCTTAAATATTTTAATGTGCATATATATATATGTATACACATGCACATTAAAATATTTAAGAATCTAATACCTCTATACACTATATCTATGACTATAACTCTATATCTACATACATTTCTAATAATACTTACTGTATCCTTTTATCAAATTGTTCTCGAATTATTGTTTCGTGGGATTCACATGGTTCAAAAGGTTTTTTGCGGAGAATGTTGACTACCATTCTGAGATTTTTACGATCTACCCACAAACATATATTTTTATAACCCGCGACAAATACGGTCAACATCATGTATAATGAATCGGTGAGTTCGTCAGAGTTATCGACATTCACTACGATATTCATAAATTGGGATATTGCAAATATATTTAACGATAGGACCAGAAACATTGCGTAAGATTTGTAAATTATATGTTTCAACAAGGATGTCCATGAAGGCGGTTGCCAAAATCCAGCAATTGTACAGATAGTGAGTGTAAATTTCAGCACGTGCATTTGAACTGTTCTAATTCAATTTTTCCTACACAAATTGCTATTAACTGTAAGACATTGTAATTTTCGATGTAAGAAATTTTGATTAAAATTTGTCGAATGGATGTAACACCACACTTAAAACAGTTAGCATTGAATTTTCATAAAAATAGCCATACTTTGGAATGTTGAAATTCGCGTTCCGTGATACTTAACGAAGTAATAAATCCGTCAATAAAATAAAAGTTTATTTATTAGCTGCGCGACTACACGAAACAGAGACAAACACTGAATTTGAACAACTATCAATCAATTAAAACGTGTTAATTTGGCGATCGCTCGTGCACGATTACGCCGACCAATATCTTCTTTTAAAAGGATATTTGAGGAAACAGTATCGTCAATTATGACAGATACATATATAGAGTTTTAGTCAGATTCTTTATAGTCGCAATTTACAATTATATTAGAAATTGAGTATCCTTTACATTTTTCTTATAATATTAAATACTATTTATTATAACTGAAAAAAAATGTCTTATTCATAAAAATTACATACATAAGAAAAAGTAAAAATTTGATGAAAACAATAAAGATTGCAAAGTTTGAGAGGTACTTAATTATAATACTATCTCGAATTAGTTAATAAATAAACTTATTTTAAAATTTATATATTTAAAAGTTAAAATTCTAGATGTATAACACGTATTATACTTTCATATTTTTTAATTAATTTGACTTACTGATTTATTCACTTTGTATTTTATTTTACCCTGTATTTAACTGCCTATCAAATATTTGCCAAATTAATTTTTTAAATGCACACACAATTTAAAAAATAAATATGTAAGTCGTTGTCTTAAACAAAAATAGATAGAGCAAAGGATTACAAAGGATCAAGATACTCTGAATGTCTATGAGTGTTGTGATTTTACCTTTCGGTAGTGATGCTATTTGTAACCCTTACAAATGTTTGCCTTCACTTATAGATTATTAATATAATACCGATTGCATCTGGGATAAATATCGAAGAATATTTTTACGAATGAAGACACACCATTTTTACGAGATATATGCTTTATTGAAAAATTGCATAATTTCCTATTATTTTACATACGAATAGAGGTACAGAAGTAAGATAAATAATTCGGAAAAGTAAATTCCTGGAATTTTCTTTAATAAATTATTAGCCTTCAACTACTTCCACGATCGATATGGTTTTCTTATTGTACATCTATGACAAAATATTTATTACTTTCTACCCTATATTTTCGTAATATCAAGACATATATATACCCTTAATATTAGTTAATAAAATAGTAATCGGATTCCATGAAATCTTAATACCAACCACATATTCGGTTTTGCATGGTACACTTTTTTATTATATCTTACAGTTTAACTGTAACTCGGTATTATGCATCAAGATACAATACAAGTCAAGATATAACTGAAGTGAGCCACATCAAAGCTTCGTAAGTACCAAAATTGTGTATTTTATTATAGACCGGATTGTAAATATATATAATATTATATAAGCTGCAGCACATACTCTCTTGCATAACGATAATAGATAAAGTATAAGAAAATAAACCAATCAAAATCCTTTATTGCATGAAAAGGAAAAAATAAAAGATTTTGATTGGTTCATTTTCTTATATTTTACGTATTATGTATTATGCAAGAGTGTGTGCTGCGACCTTATAGATGGATTGTGTTTTATGACATACTAATATCTGACATGGAAAGTCAAATGCTGTGCAGATATAAGCGAAGAAAAAAAAACGGTAAGGCATGGGAATTTTTATTTGGACTAATAATATTTTTTAATTATTTTAATTTTAATTACTTTTTAACGTTATCTTTTTAAATTGAAACTTAATTAAAATTTTTTGAAAATATTCATCCTTAAATATTACGGTAACTTTTTGTAAAATTTTTTGAAGCCGTAGTTTTTTCTTTGTCATAAAAAATTAAAAAATAGCATGCTTAGGAAGGTGTGTGCACATTGTATTTTAATGCCTCAACATCTCAAATATTATACGTTAAAAACGATATACATTATAATTTGCATACTCCATCCTTCAATAAAAATAAATGAGGTAAGAAAAAATTCTATATAATTATTAGATTTAATTATAGATCTACCCAAACATTACTAAATTGATAATAACATTAATTAAAATTTTTTTATAATTGTTTATATGAAACAATGTTTGCTACAGTATTTCTGTAAGGTTTAATTCAATCTAAAATATTTTGTTGCCCAAGACACTAAATAATAAATCAAAGTATCTTAAAAAGTAAATTATAATTTTAATGCTTTGTAATATCATTTCATTAGGAATATGAACGAAAAAACAGTATGAACATGCTTGTAACAATTTTATTTTTAGTACTAATATGAAATTTTTAAAATACTAACATAGTGATTTAATTTACGAAATTTTTATTTCTCTTTTAATGTCTAATATCTTTTTGAATATCAGATTTTAATGTCAATGAAAATTTCAAGAAAAAAATTGTATAAGTTTTGTGAAAATTTTCTAGTTAATACTAATGAAGTATGAATTATGTATTGAAATAAATAAAATGTAAGTGATTTCATAACATATTGAACAATAACGTTTGTTAATTGAATAATAATGTTATTAATCTTGCGTTTGATGCAACAAGTTGAAAGCCGAGTATGACATTTTAAGTAACTGCAAAAATTGTAAATTAAAGTTATTTAAAATAGTTGTTTTTTTATGTAATAATATTTTTGATACTGACAGCTACAAACGACTCGAGATTCATCGTGATTATGTATGCACTACTAAATTCAATAGGATTCATTGCGCGTCTCATGACAATTAAAAGGCCTTTTTTGCTGCTATTGGTAAGTGTCGACCATTCTACATTATAATAAATATTATTCAGCAACTGAAGACTCTACGAGATATAAAAATATTGCACATTACAAAACAGAAATATTATTCATTCCAATTTTATAGATATAGCTTTTTCATATTATTTATGGTGTGATCTACTTAATGCTACTTCGAAAATCAAAGAATGTTTCAAAGCATTTGTAGCATCAAATCGACTGTAGCCTATAACTCTAATAATATACATATATACTTATATAAAATGAACATTAATTAATTTTAGAGAAATATATACTTTTGCTTTAACTTCGTTTCCAAACCAACAATAGATGAAAATTTGTGTCAATATGGCACCTGTATACATCATCAATGAAACAAATATCACATAATCTGTCGTCATTGCTATTCGATATAAATTCGAGCACACCACTAACATGCTCACTGCAAACTGGAGACCAATTATTTTTGCAAACATATTATTAACTGTGTATGCATATCTGTGATTAAATAGAAGAGATTTAATTTTATGCAAATAGTCTTTAAAGTTATACATAAAATCAATTTTTATTACTATTTAATAATAAAATAATCAAGATAGATATAATATTAAGTTTTTACCTTTGAAATTTTTAATAAATAAGAATCAAATTAATTCAATAAAATTTATTTTAAATAAAAAATCCCTATATAAAAATTAAAACTTTGTTTAGAACACTTTATTTATACCTTATTTATGTGTCTTAATCATTTTTGTATTATTTAAAGAACGATTCTTACGAAAACGGAACTTTTGTATTACATATAATTCAAACTTTTCAAAGTAACACAATTACATAAGAAACCAACTCAAAGATACGGTTGTGATGAGAAACACAATCGCACAGAACGTCTTCATCATGAATCATTTTTGTCAATCGGTATTCCAAAATTTCAAGTTGGCAACAGATGTGCAATAAAAAACCGCAAATAACGCTCTCACAAGCAACATTTACTATGCCGGAAGTTGCCATGCCTACTAGCTGATGGGTATAAACAAGAAAGTATAAGGCAGGATACGAATAGTTGAACGGCACCCATGCTTTATATGTCAAATTTCTATTTGAGAGTTGCGTAAGAACAGATGTTAAAATTATTGATATAATTGTCGCCATAATGAGAATCAAATATCGTAACGTGCTATTCCTATAAAATGATCATGAAAATTATTTAAACTAATTCTTCAATACAAGTTATTATTTTATTATTGTATAATATACAAATATTTTTTTTAATTTAAAATAAAGATATAATAATAATAACTTTTGGAAAAAAAATGAAATTGTGTTATATATTACATATCTATTTGCATACTATATCTATTTCTATATCTACTTGTATAAAATGGTCAATAAAATATAAGTACAATATAACTACATTATTTTTATTATCTTGAAACAAAGGACACATATAAGAGATATTTTGTTAGAATATTATACTTTATTGAAGAATAATTAAGAAATTATTTGCATGAAATCAATGATACTTACTGTACCATTTTCTCAAATTTTTGTTGAATTATAAATTCTTTTGTTTCACATGCTGCAAAAGGTTTTTCATTAAGAAGGTTGATTATTGCCATAATATTTTTGCGATCTATCCACATATAAACTTGTTTATAGCCTGCGACGAATACGGTCAACATCATGTATAAAGAATCAGTAAACTCGTCAGAATTTTCGACGTTCAGTATAATGTTCATAAATTGAGATATCGAAAATATATATAATGAAGAGACAAGAAACATTGCGTATGTTTTATAAATTATATGTTTAAACAGCGATGTCCATGAAACTGGTTGCCAACATCCAGCAAATGCGCAGACTAGGAGTGTAAATTTCAGCACTCGCATTTAAACTCCTTTAATGCAATTTTGCTTACACCAATTGCTATTAATATTTATTAATTACATTATTTTTTAACATCGTATAAAAGCTCTTCTCTTTAAAGATAAAGATCATATACCACTATAAAATTAATTTACTAAAAACGTTAAAAAAAAAATTAAGATTTTATTTTTTAGTTTGTTAATAAAATTCTACTTGTGTGTATGAAATATATTTTGTTTATTTTGTAAGTATATTTTCTGTAGTATATAATATTACTTTATAGCGTAACTATTGGATTTAATATTAAAAAAAATTGTGTGGGTGATATTATTAAATTTTGATGGGAGGAATTTATATTTACAAAGATAACTTATTAACGTAAGTTAATAAAAAATATTAATTTAAAACCACTTAATATAAAAGTTTATTTTCTGATATGAAACTTTTGATATGCATATAATACTTTTATATCGCATTTACCTTTTTATATAAAAATTTTTTAATTTTTTTACATCATGAATTACTTACGATTATTCAATATTTCACTTTTAAGTTTATTTAAACTATTTATATAGTTTTTAAAAGCATTATCTAACCTCTTGTTGCGTCTTAAATGAAAATAGATACATTTGATAGAAAGAAAAACTCGGAATGTCTGTACAATGTTTCGTGGCTTTCTGATAATGATACTATTCATTACGTATTCTCTGTATATATCTCTGCTGTTATTATTGTAATATTCATATACAATAACCTACGACGATATCCTACGAAATAATAAATTTACAAATTAAAATGCGGTATTATTTCGATACATATATATTCCATTAGAAGAAAATTGTATAGTACACTACTATTTTTATGAAGATAGCGAAAGAGATAGAAAACTGATATATGGAAAGAAATGAGTCCTTTGAATAATTAATAAATCATTAGTCATTAACTGTTTGCAGAATACTTCAATATAGATTCTTTATTATACAATGTTCTCTCTCTCCATAAAAATATTATATTTATTACTTTCTACTCTGTTGTTTACAATTTTAAACATTTAATTCAGTTTTATTATGTTTTCGTTATTCTGTTCTTAAATTACCTATTCTCTCTTTTTTTTTCTGAGAATAGCATGTCTGAGGACAATAAAAGAGAAATACGAGTACAGCTATCTCTTAGTCTTGTCACGCAAGCTCCTATAAGAAAGCATAGTCTATAAGTGTATGATGTGTTATAACGTTATTTCTATTATATTGTAATTCCTACTTTTATTTTCCTCTACATTGCAAATGTAAGTAAGGTAAAAAAATATTTTAAACCAGTGAAAACATACCATAACGGTCAAGTTGGATCTCGAGTGCTTCTATATAATTGTGTGCGAATTTATGTACTACATATGTAGATTTTTAATCGCGCGCCGAATTTTTTAAACTTTAAATGTAATTCTACTAAACTAGCCGCAGTAACATCACGATCGTGTGATTGCGTTTAAAGTCTGAAAAATTCGGCGCTTGATTAAAAATCTACGTACGTAATATATAAATTCACACGCAATTATATAAAAGCCCCGAGATCCAGCTTGACCGTTACGGCATGTTCTCATCGGTTCGAATTCTCAAGATCAAAAAAAATTTTAACCCTTAAATTTTTCACGTACATACATTATATATGTACGTGAACAAGTATATGTATATAAATTATTGTATACATATGATGTTAATTATTTGTTATATCAAATGTCACGATACAGCTATCTAAAATAAAAATTAATGATTTAACGTAAAACGGATCTGTAATAAAAAAAATAGCTAAAAAATAAAATATTTCGTACACACATATAATGAAATTGTTTATAATGATTTTATTTATATCTTCAGCGTTAATACAACTTTTTTTTAATTGTTGATAATATATTTTAATTAATATTTTTTACTTTTCTAAAAAATGCTTAAAACTTGTTTTATGTGCTGTAACTTTTCAGGAAATAACGATAAAAACTCTTGATAAAAATTTATAAATCTGAAATTTATTTTATCGATAACAAGGTATTAATTTATTTCTACATTTTAACATTCTTTTTATGTGATTTTGTAAAAATTAAGAAGAACAATAACAATTCCTATTAATCATATTACTATTCGCTTGTTTGATGCAGCAAATTGAAAACTGAATATGACATCTTAAGCAACTGTAAAAAAATTAGAAATGCATTAAAAATATTAAAAATAATTGCAGTATTTAGTAGTAATATGTATAAATATATCTTTAAATGTCTAATACTAACAGCTACAAACGACTCAAGATTCATCGTGATTATGTATCCGCTAGTAAATTCAATAGGAGTCATTGCGCGCCTCATAACTAATAAGATATCTTTTTTGTTGCTATTGCTAAGATCCAGCCATTCTATATTATAAATGCTATTTATCAATTGAAGGCTCTACAATAAAATATTTTAAAAATGCATGTTTTACATAATATTATAATGAGAAACGTTGTATCTTTTCTGATAATCTCAGTTACATATCTATTTTGCATTTAATATCGCAATTGATTTATTTTAAACAATATTCAGTATATAAATAGGATCAATTTAAATAATATGTACTTTTAACTTAACTTCGTTTCCAAACCAACAGTACATGAAAATTTGCACTAATATAGCACTCGTATACATTACCAGTGGAATGAAACTAACGAGGTCGGTCACTACAGCTATTCGGAATAAATTCGAGCACACTACCAACATGCTCACAGTAAACTGAATAGCAATTATTTTTGCGAACATATTATTCACTGTATATGCATATCTGCGATTAGATCAAAAATTTTCAGTATGATTTTAATATATTCTCACAAATATATTTTTTAATTATTTACAAGTTATTAAATTTATGTTATTTAATTTTATTATAATTGCTCGTTTAATGCAGAATATTTATAATATTTTAGTAATAATATTTTACTTGTCACGCTCCTTGTTTACAGATTTTCTGTCTCAAAATTTATCTACTTTCAATGAAAACTTTGAAAGCACTATTATATTTAATATTTGCAAAAATACTTTTTTAATCTCTTTTTTAATCAAATTTCACTTAAAGTTTGTTGAAGAATACAAGATTTTATTAACTATGTTTATATTTTTTTATTTTAATTTTGTCCAAAAAATCTTAAGATCTTAATCGTTGAATTTATAAATCAAAAATCATTTATCATTTTAATTATTAATAAAAAAATTAGTCTAAGATCTCTTTTATTTATTATTTCAGTTATTTATCTACTTGAGAAATAAATAATAATTGTTTAATTTATATTTTATGTGCAATCTGTGCTTTTTAATTACGAAAAAAAATTAAAAATAACTTTTGTCTTAAATGTAATACAAACTTTTTAAATAAACTAACTCAAAGATACGGTTGTGATGACAAACACAGTCGCGCAGACTATTTTGATCATGCGTGAGTTTTGTCAGTCGATGTCCCAGAATTTCAAATTGACAGCAGATGTGCAGTAAGAATCCACAAAGCAAGCTCTCGTAAGCAACATTTACTATACCAGAGGTTGACATAGCTATTAATTGGTGAATATATACAACAAAATACATAGCGGAAGATAAGTAGTCAAACGGTATCCATGCCTTATACGTCAAGTTTCTTGTCATAAGGACCGTGGAGATAGACATTATTAGTATCGACATGATTGACATCAAGACGATAATTAAATACCTCCGCGTATTGTTTCTATAAAATAATTATAAAATTTATTACAGCAATTCCGAGAAATTAACTCGTAACTTCCTGCAGTGTTACTTATAACATTTTTTTATATGTATTTATAAATATAAAAATATTTGTAATTCCAAAAAAATTAAACAAAAATATGTTTTGAAAAAATTTAATATAATGAAACATAAATTACATTATTTGTATCAAATTATTACACAAAGTATATACACTTGCTGTAAAATATCTAAAAACGCAATGCAAGATACTTAGAAATTTATCGAAGAATAATTGATGCATTTAATTACACAATTTTTTTAATGACACTTACTGTACCAATTTCTCGAATTTTTTCTGAATCATTATTTCGTGTGTTCCATATGGAGCAAAAGGTTTCTGGTTAAGAACATTTATTATTATCATGAAATTCTTACGGTCTACCCACATATAAATCTGTTTGTAGCTTGCTACAAATACAGTCAGCATCATATATAAAGCATCGGTAAATTCATCAGAGTTGCCGACGTTTAATATAGTGTTTATTAATTGAGAAATCAAAAATAAATTTAATGAGGAGATCAGAAATATTGCATAAATTTTATAAATTATATGTTTAAACAGCGATGTCCATGTAATCGGCTGCCAGCATCCAGCGAACGCACAGATCATGAGTGTAAATTTCAGTAAATGACGCATTTGAGCTTCTTTTTAATGCAAATTAGCCTATATACAATTTGTAGTTAAGATTTACATTATTATTTATTATGGTCGAAATGTTTTCTTTACTTAAGGATAGAAAAAGAAGCTATTAATAATGTGTGTGTGTGTGATTCTAATACTAATTTAAAGAAAATGAAGCAATTCTTTGAAATTAATTTGGTAACCTTATTTTTATGTGTACACTTACAAAAATTTCCGATTTATATTACTTGCGTTTATTTCAGCTGCTTATTACATTATCAAAATTAACATATACTACTCAGGTAATTCTTAAGAACATTACTTGACTAAATCGTTTTTTGTCTCCTCAAACTGCAATGTCTGTCGTATCTCTTGATACGATTTTCTAATTCTGATATATTTTTACGTCCCACACATATGTATCCATACTCCTATTATTATAATAGGAACTAATAACAACGTTCTTGAGAAATAATATTTTCATGAATCAAGACGCGAGATTGTTTCGAGATATATGCTTTATTAGACAATTGTATAATGTACTGTCTATGAATATTTTTATGAAGACGAGATAGAAAAAACAGACTTATATGGAAGAATAAATTCTTTGAATTGTCTCTAAGGTGTATTATTTATCTTCTATTTCCATGATTACGTTTCTTTTAATATAGTTCACTCATGTTATATTACAAAATATTTTTACTGTCTGTTTGCAAAGTATTATACCTTGGTTGCTGTGTAGTGAATCGTTGACTATAGCTCATGGCAATGAAATTTTAATGTTGATAGTTTGTACGTCCGGTTAGGTACTAATACACTTTTTCTTATAGCATCTACGACTCGCTGTCGAAATATCATCACGTGCTTCTTTGAATACTGACTTTACATTTATTCTTCCTTTAATAAATATACAATACATGTATATATGGGTAAGAGAAAATATCTTTACTTCTTAGATGTAAAACTGAAGATGTTAGTAGTTATTTACAACAGTTATAACAAATTTTTCTATTATATTTACTTGCATGCATTTTCAGCTGTAATATTATTTTTTATAATATATTAATTGTAACAACTTTAAACGCGGATTGTAAATATTTGTAGCTTAAAGAAAGAAATAATAGAAATTGAATAATAGAAATATAGAAAAAGAGAGAGAGTTTGTAATATTCCTTATAATTTAGATATGTCTATTGTGTTAATATAAATTTCTTGTAATATAATATTATTTTATTTTTGTTTTTCGTCCTAAGCACAAATGTTATTACCTTTTCTTATATCACAGATCAAAATACATGCTAATGTAAGTCTTTCGCAAACATTTCATATATTGTTTAAAAGTAGTTCATATATGTATCAACGATGTGATAATATATTTATTTTGAACTAATTTTTTTTTAACATACCTTATATATCGCTTTATGATTTTTTAACTATACAATTCCTATTAATCCTGTAGAGAGTGCTTCAATAGATTGTAAGCTGAATACGATGATTTAAGTAACTGTAAAAAAATGTAACTAATATTATTTGAAACGTACATATTATTAGAAACGTACATAAATGTAAATTCATTTTTATAATTAAATAATACTGACAGACACAAATGAGTCAAGATTCAATGTGATCACAACCGCACTATTAAATTCAATAGGAACCATTGAACGTCTCATGATTAGCAGCAGGGCTTTCTTGCTTTTGTTATCAGGCATCTGCCATTTCATGTTGTATATGCTGTTTGCTACTCCAATGCTCTATATGTAAAATACTGCTCATTAAAAAAGATATACCTATCATGCAGTGTTAATAACATTTTTTCTTTTTTTTAATTGTTTATGCTTATTTCTTTAGTTTTAATAGTTATAAACAAAAAATAGAATTAATTCTTTATATCTATATATAAAAAAATTATATGTATTTTTATAATATATAAATTATGTACTTTTAATTTGAGTTCATTTCCAAACCAGCAATAAAGGAAGATCTGTGATAACATGCAGGCTGTATACATTATCAATGTAACAAGGTTTCCATTGATCATCACGATAGAAATAGAAGCTAATTTGTATAAATTAGCACACACCACTAGCATGCTTACTGCGAATTGGAGAGCAATTATCTTCGCAAATCTGCGATTTACCATATGCGCGTATCTAACAATAAATAAAGAATTTTAATCTATTGTCTAAACGTAACTTTTAAAGTCAATCTCATTGAACATCTTTTACAATACTTTTTATCAGATAAATAATTTATTAATTTTCGAACAACTTTGAAATAAAAATTTCAAAGAACGTGTGTGTACATACATATAAACAGATAATTTTGCATGTAATGATTACGTTCTAAATGTTTTAAATAATAAAATATATTGTTTTTTTAAAGACTAACTTATATATACGATCGTGGTGATGAATGCAGTTGCAGAGAATGTGTTGGTCATTTGAGATTTTCGTCAATCGGTATTCCAGAATCTCAAGCTGGCAGCAAATCTCTTGCAGAAGTCCGGATACCAAGTTATCACAAGCGACATTTATAGATGCACAGATTGACATACCTATTATTTGGTGAGTGAATACGAAAAAAAATATAACGGGTGATGTGTAGTCAAATGGCACCCATGCTTTAAATGTCAAATTTCCTCTCATAAAATCCATGAAGATAGCATTTAAAATTATGCATAAGACCGTTACCTGGACAAGGCCATAATACCACAATGCGTATTTCCTATAAAATATATTTTTTATGAAAATATTTTAATGGCTATGAAAAATTGTTATGTCTATTTGTTATCGAAGTGTTTGCTTATATGTACATGATATTACTCACATTACTACATTTTTTCGAATTATATTACTATCTACATTTGTTGTTTGTGACATATTGATAAATTAGAAGCACTCTACTGTAAAGAGCATCAATATCTCACAAACATGGTATAAATTAACAATATATTAATATAATTCGGAAAACTGCTTGTAATAATGAAGCATTGAAATAATTATGTTCGGAAAATGATCAAATTATGTTAAACATAATAGATACAGGGGAAAGTCGTCGAATATGTACTATTTAAATAATTTTTATTATATATTCCATTTAATACTGATTTGTACGCAAATGAACATTGGAAATTGCAACTTGATGACTTTCAATTACCTATTATTATTACATGGTTAAATTTCTAATATATTATAATTTGTTATGTCTTTTTCAAATGTGTTGCATGTTTCAATACGCAAGGGGTTGTAGGGTGGAAAGTCTTGCTTTGCGTGGAAAGTCGGACTTTCCTAGGGGGAGAGGGGGCGATGGACTTTGCTTTATATGAAAAATCCTTACGAAATTGTAAAAATTGTGTTCAATTTATATAATTCATTTTGTTATTAACTTTTTGACGAGGTCATGACTCATGACCTTAACAACATGACAAAGTCATTGAAATCTCTGAGATCAGTCTTAATATGTAATAATTACTCTAATTTTTTATTTATTTTATATTTTTGTTACTGAATGTCGCTTATATTGAACAATATGATGTAAAATATTGATGAAATACGATTTAGGCGACCAATATACATTTAGCAAATCTCTCATACTATGTATTAATTGTGTTAACTAAATAAAATATATAAATATATATATATATATAATAAAATATAAAATATATAAAATATTGTTATATTCTAAAGTATTTTAATAATGCATTTGATAACACAACGATGGAAGTAAAACATTCTAATTATTCAAAAATTGATTATATATTATGACTGTTGCACTTTATGCTTGTATAATTCGTGAATAATACTTACTTTATTGTTTTATCATATTTTTGTCGAATTATTACTTCGCATGATTCCGACGGTTTGAAAGGTTCTTCCGTAAGAACATTGACTATCGCTAAGACATGTTCTTTAATTATCCACATAGTAACTATTTTATAAGTCGCGATGAATACCGTCAACGTCATATATATATTATCGCTTATTTCACCAAAGTTGTTAATATTTAGAATAATGTTCATAATTTGCGACATCGTAAATACACTTGCTATGCAAATCACTAATATTCTATAACTGCTATACATTACATATTTTGACTGCGATGTCCATGTAAGTGGTTGCCAGCATCCGCAGATCGCACAAAGTATAAGTGTAAACTGCAGCACGACCATTCGAATTTTTTAAAATTTAACTTGCCTATACATTAATATACTGTATTAATTTTTAATTGTATTGTATTATTATGAAACCGTCATAATTACTATAACAACGTCATGTCTCTATAATATTAATAATTTAAATATTATATAGATATAAAATAGAAAGAAATAAAATCAAAACATATAAGATTAAGGAAGAATGTGTTATACACGTATAATATATATATATGTATATATATATATATATAT